CGCCATTGTAATTACCCTAGTTAACATCTCTTTATTGCAGTTCAAGTGCTTAGGCTCTCAAGATTGGTTTTGTAAATTAGGTGAAAGAACACAGAGGCCTGAGAAACAGCAAGACTACACCCGTTGGAGTAACTTGTATGTTAATAGTTGTATCGAGGGCAAAATCTCCTAAGAACACTTGCTCCAAAACATCATAGATCTTGTATCCCTCCTTGCAATCCAGGATACCCAGTAGTGCTAAATTGGTTGCGAAAGGTCTTGGCATTCCATCCGTGCCATTGTTCATAACCGCTATGGCAAACTGTCCGTTGAACAGGATTCGCTTCCATACTTCAAAATGACGCCACTGTCAAATAGAAGTATAGTGTAGTGATTCATTTTCATTGTTTTTGCATCATCATTTCCGAAACTGGATACATGGAAGGTCACACACATCCCTTTGTGCTTACAATACTATTCACAGAAACTGTCACCACTATAACTAACTTAAAAGTAGCACTACTATTAGTTTGCACTTAAGCTGAGTGAAATCCCTGCGATAGATGTGATGGGGGTACAGACCTGATGCAGATGAACAAAATATGGGCCATCTCTCCTAGCTCTTAATTCCCTCAGAGAATAGAAGTGAGAGGTGCTGCTTTAGGGATTAACTGGATTCCAGATGTTACTTATACTGCAACTAAAAGTATCTAAGGGTATGTCTACACTGCAATAGAACACCTGTGCCTGGCCCATGCCAGTTGACTCAGGCTCACAGGGCTAGAAAATTGCAGGGTAGATGTTTGGGCTCGGGCTAGAGCCCAGGCTCTGGATCCCTCCTCCCTTGTGGGGTTTCAGAGCTCAGGCTCCAGCCTAAGCCTAAATGTCTACTGCAATTTTACAGCCCAGCAGCCTGAACGCTGCAAGCCTAAGTCAGCTGACAAGGGCCAGTGGCTGGGGTTTTATTGGTGTAGACATACCCTTAGGTACTGTAGACAAGTGCCTGCCCTGACCGTCTTACAGTAAGTTGACCTCCTACAGCCAAATAAGACTGTCTTAAGAAAATATTACATCTTGCTGTGTTTGGCAGCATAAATCTGCTCACATTTTTACATCACAACAGTGGAAGGTATGCAGGGATCAAAATGCTGATTATTCCAGGTGTTTTAAAAATGTAAGCAAGCTGTTGATACATTTTTTATAATCTTATGAATTTGTTCTGTGATGGACACTTATGCTTATTAATAAAGAGCATCTTTTGTTTATATTTTGGGGGGGATAATCTATAACTTTCTCCCAGAATAGGTGAAGGTGGAATGTAGTAAAATGAGTAAATGATCTCTGATTCTGACAGCTAGCTTTGTGAAAGAACTGAATGGCACACACTGATCTTTATATGTTGTCCAGGTTGACCCAAATGTTCTCTCAATCAGTAGGTGTTGGTGCTGGATGCGTGCATGCTCCAGTATTCATTTCTAGTGTTGCTGATTTTGTGCATCTACTATGTTTTGCAACAGCATCAGTGTTGGTTTTGTGCACCTTTTTTGCAACTATCTTACATAATGATCCTACTTTTTCTATCTTTAAAAAGTTTTATTGCCTTTGTAGATCTAGAAAATTGCTAAAAATAGGGAAAATAGATTACTTCAATTTGAGTGCTACAACTAAGTTTTTTTTACCTGGGGGAAAAAAAAATTCCAGTGCCCTAGGGCCTGTATCTATGCCAATGCTGTTAAGTGTTACAATTTTTTCTTGACAGTGTGCCAACTGTATGAAGTTCCTTGGTTCCGCTTTCTGCCTGTGCAGCTACATGGTAGATACAATTCTATACTTAATCTGTAAGAATATGTTTATACTTTCACTTCATCCACTGTTGTCAATTATATGATTACCCACCCATCTTTCCAGCAGTTCCAAATGATTTTCCATAGTGAGTAAAACAATCAAAAGTTCTGCTTACTTCTAATCTCTTTCTACACATGGGTCCTATTTATCCAGTGTCTCATTCAAACTATCACATAAGACATTTTTCTTGATGTGATTCTAGGCATCTAAATTAATTTGCCATTCCAGTCAGTCAGGACCAAACTCTTCCATATATTCTATCATACTCTATTGTTAAAGCCCTACATATTTCATCTAATGAGCAGCTGGAGTGTTGGGCACAATCAGGGCACAGATATCCAAGAGTAGCTTGCAGTTAGGAAGAGGTCAGCATAGTTCTTACACGGTCAGCAGGACAGATGTGTAACTCGAGTGCAGTTGCACTAGCATAACCAAGGGAAGAATTTGGCTTAAATAGTTAGGAATTTGTCTGCTCTTGGGAAGTTTCTCTTCAAACCTCACAGCCTTAGCCTATCATATGCAATATTTGGGGATCGAGAGTGCAGCAGGGTGGAGACATCAGCCTGGGAAGGCCCCAAGGTATCATAAGGAATGACACTGGCTACAAAGGCCACATGGTCTCACCTTATCATATGAGCCCAAGGCCCATCACCAAAATCTCAGGTCTTTTATCTCTCGGAACCATTCATTTTATTCTCTTAACTGCACTGGAAACCGGCTGCAAGTTGTGATGAATAACCAATACCACAGTTAGGAACTAAATACATTCCTACTTAGCCCACTGTGGCTTGAAGATGCTGCGAGGAAGGCAAAAAACTCCCTGGTCCTCTGCCAATTGACCCATGGGTGAAAAAATTCCTTCCTGACCCCCTAATCAGGTGATAGGCCAGACCCGCGCCATTTCTCAGGCTGGGTTCCCAATCTCATTTTGGGTGGGTAGAGTGGGCTGCTGGAACGGAGCTGAAAGAGGCTCCACGTGGTCCCTGCACTGGGCTAAATTGTGGGAGATGAGGCATGCTGGCCAATCAGCACCCCTTTCTCCCAGCTGGCCAATAGGTGCCAGAGACTCCCAGTGGGAGGAGCTACCTATTGTCCCTTGGCAAGTGTCTCCCTCTATTGCTACTGGGACTGTCCCCCTTTCACTGCCAGCCCAATCAATTTCTCCCACCCGTTGATGCGGATGGGTGGCATTTTGCAGCAGCTAAAGATTGTGTAATTCCATTCTACTGCATCCATGTAGCACCACTGTGTCAACTCTGTTGCTGTCAGTAGGATTGTTTACTTAATTGAGAACACCATGTGACACTGCATCCATTAAGATTATAGTAAGTTTCCAGATACCTTTTTATCCCTGAAGAGAGAACATTTATGTGTTTAACTAAATCAACTATTAAAACTGACAAGGCTAGACTGTACACATCTTTTGTTTTGTGTAACTATTAAGAGATTGAGACATCTCAGTAATGTGGTAATCCTGAAACAATTGTAGTTTTATCATTATGGCAGGATGTATGGGTAGAGACCAACCTAGGCAGAAGTGAAGAGTATTTACCATAGCAGCATTTGCTGATGGTTATGTAATAAAATACTAGCTTTCCCATTTTGTGTGTGGCTCTCATGCTAGATATGATGAGAGTTCAGGCTCTCATACTGGATATGATGGTAAAATGAACTGACCCACTTTCCCCCCATCCACCTTTTGAGACTCTTGGGACTCTCTCTAGAGCCTAAGAGCACTCTAAGCATGTATTATGATCAACCTACAGATCTAGAGGAAAGTCACACAAATAAGGACAAAAGTTACTCGGAAGCAGAGGCAGAGAAACTCAGTAAATCGCCACTTGAATTACACTGTTCTTGAATCCAAATTGATACTGGATGAAGTGTTGTTCTCAGCCTCCAAGAAAGGAAAACATTATATGAAGCCTAAATGGCTGTATACATCAGCACAGAAACTGATAGAATAAAAAAACGCTAACAAAATTTAGACTGGATGTAAGCTGGTGCAACTCCTGTGGAAGTGTCTTGGCCAAATTCACTAGTGATGTAATTGGCAGTGTGAGTTACTTATGTGTAAACTGGTCATAAAATGGGTGTAAATTCCATTCATATGTATCCAATGAATGTGTAACCTATGTATGCAGAGAGGGAGTGGGAGGAGAGAGTGGCAGGAAAAGTAATTAATTATAGGAGTGTGTAGATTAACACATCTTTCCTCAACCTTTCCAGCAACATTAAATAAGTGATTAAAAACAAATCACTACAACTTACGTTTATTACCAAAGGACTGGAAAGGCTGTTTTAAAAATGAAAAATTCTGAAGCTTCCTTTCTTGGGGAAATATAAGATAAAGTTCATATTGCTAAGTGTGAGTTTCTGGCAGAGCTTGGTGATGAGGCATAGCAGAACCATCATTTAAAAATCAAACCAAACAAAAATATAGAGAGTAGACAACTAGCAAATTGGGTACCTGCATAATGCGCTGTCCCTGAATCCCCAGAGAATCTTGGTTTATATAAATCAACAGCTTGTTTTGCAAGATGTGCTTGGCATCCTCAGAGATTGTCCTTAAATCACTGGACATAAAGAGAGGGGCTGCCAGGATTGCCCACAATGCCATCTGCACTTTTGACTGCTCATAACTCAGGCCAAAGTTACCAATGATCAGCTGAAATAAATCAGATACTGTTAAATGAAACTGTCTGTATTGTAGTAGCGCCTAGGAGCCCTAATCACAAACCAAGATCCCAGTGTCCTGGCACATGACATGGGCTCTTAGAGGTACTGCAAATGTGACTCTCTTAAAAGAATGATAATATACGCCAAAAGCCAACTACATTACAATTTAGCGCATTATCCTGCAAACCCTCTATGTGCAGAAATCTTACTGAAGTTAATAGTTGAAAGCTTGCAGAACTGGACTGTTACTTGTATTGTCTTTTATACAACATTTGTCCCAAAATTCGATTTCAGAATGAACCATATCTTCTCCTTCATCACAAAATCCTGTTTCCATAATACCTCTGTGCAGACTTGCAAAATTATCTTAAATTTACCAGCCCATCAATAAAATGTACTTGTCTCCCTTTGCACCCCCAGAGTGAGTGAGCAATTCAGATTTTGAAAGGCTACCTTAATTGCCTCCCTTTGACTGTAATATATTTGTTTAAATGTTTACCAATATTTTTCTGCTAGGCTATTTTGGGCAGCAGTTTTTGGTATCTACCTCAAGTGTGTTCCCAGCCAGGGTCACACATGGTTCCACTTTGCCACCCTTCCTCTTAAACATGTTTGTGTCACAACTAGAGGAGATCATGAAGCATTCTGGACGTTTGTGCCATTGGCATTCTGATTATAATTAAGGGTAGGATTCTGTCACAGAGTCAAGAATTCTGTTACTTTCTGGGACCTCCGTTACTACTTCTGGGGCAGGGCTGGAGCAGCTGTCAGCCTCAAGGCTTCTGGAGCAGTGGCTGCTGGAACAGCTGACCGGCGGCCAGCCCCAAGGCAGCCGAAGCAGCAGCCGTGGCCAACACCAGGTCCACCAGAACAGCTGGCTGGCAGCCAGTCCTTGGGCTTAACATTTTAGTTGGGTTTAATAAAGGAAGGCAAAAACTATGCCCTCAAGCAACACAGCTACTTATAGGGACAACTTGAAGTGGGAGCCTGATAAACCAGGAGGCTTCGCAGCACTGAACTGCAGGAAAACCCTCTCCTCTGGTAAACCATCACCAAATGCTGTGGTCTTTTTTATTGCTATGATGGAATAGAGACTGGTAAAGCATTGCAGTAAGTAAATTACAAAGTATAAATCACTTTGGTGGTATAACAATCCAACTGTATGTTTTCATGGTCAAAAAGTAACTGCTATGAATTTGGGGCCTTTGCTGCACAATGTGAAGGTCTCCACTATGTATTTGGGGCTAAATCCCCAGCAGCAACAAAGCAGAGTTCAGCACCGCTGAGAGGAGGCAGCAAAAGTACCTTCATCCTGGAGCTGGCTAGGGACTGAACTGTCCTTCAGTGCAAGTTAGACTAGCCTGAGACCTGCTCCAGCTTGTAACAGTCTCTTGGGATTGCTGAAGTGCAGCATGCTCCGGCCCTACTCCCTAGGCTGGGAAGGATGATACACAGCCAATGTAGCCAGCCCTAAATCATCTGAAGATTCTTCCATGCCAAGACAATCCTCTGCTGTCCATTTAAAGAAACTTTTAAGGTTTCTTTGCTACATTCCAGTGGCACAAAGAGGCCTTACCGTGGGCCAAGATTTAACAAAAAAGTTGCAGTCTTTCTTTATTATGCATAGCCGGCTCTGGTGTTCCACACCTTGGTCAGACTGCAATGTGCTTTACTCAGGAATATCCTTGCAGGCCACTTGGATGCTTTACCTGTGCTGAATGTGCTGTGGAGTGGGTTAGTGTGAGTAAATTACACCAGTGCTCCAGTCACTACACTGGTTTTCATTCTGCTGACAGGTGAAATTTAAATTACTGGATTTTTAAATTTCTGAAGCGCTATCTAATTTTGAGACTTGCAACCTGAAAGAATGCTGCTTGTACCATCCAGTTGGATGAGAAACTGAAGAGCTCTTGTTGACATTCCCTCGGTTTGAACTCTTAAGAACAGGAGGCAAGACAGTCACCATGGAAGCTCCCCAGCTGTAACTTGCTCCCTCTGATGCCCAACTTTGCTGGTACTGAGAGCATCCTGCAAGGTTCATCTTCCTGAACAAATATCTGTTTGATCTCAAGACAAATCTAGAGAGGGATTTTCCACCCAGTGGCTGGGGTGGCTAACAAGGGGATGACTATTATGTTAGATATTTATTTTTAATATAGGTAATGAACCCAAGGGCCCCACTGATGAGGCATTATAATTTTAGTAAGAAAAGCTTTTTTTACCACACTAATACTTGGCATTCATGTAGAACATCTTTCACTAGATGATCTCAAGGCATTTTACAAACATTAATTCCTAGAAAAAAAAGTTAAGGTAGCAAATATGTACCTACTGATTTAAACCAAAAATATTAGAACATTAGTTATTTACAAAATGTTTAATAGGAAATTCTGAGTTAAGATTAAAAACCATTTTGGCTTGAGATCCATGTGTAATTTCTGACTGAATTTTTTTTCCTGAGATAGTTAAATGTGAACACTGTCTATATCAGATTTCAATGCAAAGACAGTGCAACCTTAACTACTGAGCTGCCACTACATCTCTATACTTATCTCATGCTATAAATACCTCTAATGGTATTATACCATTTTGAAGATGGTTAAGTTGAGATAAAAAGAATGATGCAGTGAGTCAGTGATGGAGGCAGGAGTAGATCCCAAGAGTTCTGACTCTGTCCCTGCTCTAACTGCTGGACATGTTTTCTATGCACAAGTGCATAGTATCAGTCTTGTCCATTGGCTGTTCACAGCTGTCTTTTAGAAAGTCTTGCTAAATTACTTTTTTATCAGGATCTATTTACATTTCAACAGAAAACAAAATATTAAAAAGATAACATCACCATATCTGGATCATTCCATCTTCCTGGGCCAGCTGCAGGTTGCAGTTCATCCTGGTTATTTCCATACCACTCAATAATATTTAGAACACTCTCCCAGGAATCCTGGATGTCACCAAAATTTCTCCAGAGGTTACAAATGTCACCAAGTACGGTATAATTTATCTTAATAAAAACATAAGTAATATATTTATATGTATACTACATATGTGATCATCACATCCATGAAATAAATTATTTTATTTCTACAGCCACTGAATAAACTACATTTATTCTGCACCTTTGACCTGTTTCCTGTGCCAGAACTGCTACTGCCATTAATAATCTCTGAGCAACTTCGACAACTCCCATTCTCGGCTGCCTCCTGTTCTCCCTCTTCCCTCCCTTCCTTCTCTCCCCTCTTATTCTGCTGCTTTCCTACCAACACTAATTGCTGTGGTGGGTCAACAATAGCAGAAGTCAACTCTCCCCATTATGACACAATCATCTGATGCAAAATTAACTGGATCACTAGGCTTCAGAACTGGAACTACTAGGCTGTGAAATATCATGTTATGAGCTGTCAGACAAACAAAAGTAGATGGGGAAGGACAATGTATATAAATACTGGTTTGTTACAGTTTATACTATATTTAAGTGGTATTTTCCACCACCAAATTCACAAAGGTATTGATATAAAACATTTTAAAAAACAAATAAGCTGACTTGTTCTCCAGAAAAGCAAATAGGGTTTTCTAAATTTCTAAGGGAGTAAAGAAGTAAAATGTTCCCTAGCACAGAACATTAATCTGTGTTGTTCTCAAACAGATTTTTCCAAAGGAAGAACAACTGATTTTAAGACAGTGGTTTAGTTGCCATTTGTAAATTGAGAAGAGCAGACACCTTCGCCAGGTTATTTTATTTTCAAATGTCATACTCATAATCTGAATGGGAGAGATTGGTACCTACAACGTACAGCTTTCTCCTATAAGCATCTGAAAAGCAGAAGACTTTGGTATTTCATTAGTGCAGTGAGGTTGTTCATCTAACAAGGTGGTGCCAGTATGCAGAAATGAATGGAATAGAATAGGACTAGCCTGGGTGGTGTGCAGTTCATTCAAATACGTTCCAGCCATTTGTCAAGAGGTCCCAATTAGCTAAATACTGTCAGCTAAAGAGTAATAAAATAAAATCAGACAGTGGAGATACCTTTGGGGGAAGCCCTCCTTCATAGGCTGGCCAGCTACATGAGTAAGCGATAGGTCTTCCTGTTTTATTCAGAGCAATGCTCATCTTTGGGTAGCCTAAACAAAATTGAGCATTGGGTATTAATGCAAGGCAATATTAACATATTACATAACAATAGTAATAGTGTTCTAGTTTTTTTCACTTGCTATTGTTTTACAAAGATAAGAGTGGAAACTCTTCTTTGGTGAATTACATCTGGAACGGGAATTATATATGGAACATGGCTAATTAAAGGTTTCCTTTACAAAGTTACAATTTATGATCATGCCTGCCCCAAACTGACTGTTTCTGCAGATGTAAGAAAAAACATTTTTTGTATATTCCTGTTTTCAAGTTATTCAGCAAGAGGCAGATTTTTTCCAAAATAGATGTGGGAATGGAATAATCTTATAGTTCTGAACCAGTGTTTAAGAAAAGAGCTGAATGGCGTAGTAGCATTGTACTGAGTTGCCATTAAGGAAGTCTGGGTTTGGAAAAGAACTAAGGAGTCTCCTTCTTTAGACCAGCAGAAAACTGAACATCTTAAAGAGATTATGTTCCTGAAAACCCTTACACGTGTGAATACGTTTTTGGGAAAAGAGGTGCTGCAAGTACAGGATCTTGCCCCCTCAGTATCTTTCATTGCTAAGCACCTACTATGACAGTCTGGGAGCAGAGTCCTCTTTACCCTATCTGAGACTCACCTATTTAAAACAAATCAGAGTCACAATTTTACAAACAGTCTCCATTAGCACTCATTATATACATACTGAATGTAGGTTTCAGAACAGTTGGCTTTGTAACACCTATTTTCTTGTGCTTATAAAACTTTATAAAAATGTACTGTTGTAATAATTTGGTCTTCAAACTTACTCTAATTGTGAGCTCAATTGTAAGAAGTGAAAGTTCATAATGTCACAACAACAACAACATATACAGTAGAACCTCAGAGGCCTGGTCTACACTAGGCGTTTATGTCGAATTTAGTGCCGTTACATCGAATTAACCCTGCACCCGTCCACACCATGAAGCTATTTAGTTCGACATAGAGCTCTCTTAAATTCGACTTCTGTACTCCTCCCCAACGAGAGGAGTAGCGCTAAATTCGAAATGGCCATATCGAATTAGGCTAGGTGTGGATGGAAATCGA